GAAGGATATTGTTTTGTAAATAGTTGTTTTATTGAATTGGTTGTAGCCACCTTGGTTACTGTCTATTACTTTCTTGCTGCTGTTTCAGTGCTGGTTTATGACATGCTTTTAAAAGTCAATTTCTGGTTTTATCTCTCTTGTTAGAAACCTTGAGCTCTTCTGAGCATATAAACAAGGATAGGACTTGTGGTCCTCCAGATGTTGTTTGGGCTCCAACTCCCATCGTCTCCAACTGCTGGTCATGCTGCTGCGGCAGCTGGGAACCGAAGTCCAGTATGATATGGAAAAGCCATGGGTTCTCCATCTTTTGCCTTTTTTCTTTTCTTTTTTTAAGCTAAGAAATCTGGCCTAAGAGCTGGAGAGAACTTTGACACTACTAGGCAAATTGGACCATTTTTAGCTGGTGGGGTCTGCACCACTTGGACTAACACATTGGAAAACAGCTACCCATTGGATTCCATGCTGCTACAAGTATTATGATGCAACTTTTGGCAAAAACATAATCATAAAAATGAATTAAAATCTATATTTTGAGAAAAGAATATGCTATTCTGAGAGAAAACACTTCCAAAAATACTTGCTAAAATGTGTCTTACATGGAGATTTTTAAAATTTGCAGATTAATGAGCAAACAGGACAGAACAGACCTAATGCACAAAAGTGACATAGACCAGAAATAGGTTGATTTATCCATACTTAGGTGAGATGTGACTTGCACAAATACAGTCCAAGTTCTCTCTCTCCCACACCTCTAGACATTTGCAAGTGCGAGTCAGATTCTGTTTTCATTATATGGCCACACTTTTCCATACCAGTTCCAAAGCCTTGCAGTAGTGCAATAAATTGGAATCCAGGAGCAAAGCAAGGCAATTGCATGAGCATGTGCTAGGGGATAGGGGATGGGGAAAAATAGGAACCTCAAATCATATTCACTCAACTTGCATCATGCTCCCATCAAAATGATCTTATAAAATCAGTCCCCAGTAGAAGGCAACAACCTATAATATTTAAAGCATTTTTCACTTTACTGTTAACATTGCATGCATAATTCAATTCCTGGAAGATACTTTTTGTGCAAATGTTATACTGCACTGTTCAATGTAGATGTAATACTCAAAGGATTATGCATGTTTTTACTAATGGTTAATTGACCTGAGCGTCATTGCTCTGTGAAAGGCCTCCAGCACTGCACATATTCCACAATTTATGCTAATGGTTCAGTAAACAATGAAACAAAATAAAGATTAATCAGCCTGTGCTGTAGCAATGAAAGAAAATGGATGATCAAGACACAAACACTCTCAGAAAATGTAGCCTTTTGATTTTATTAGTACATGAACCTAATTATATTTTTACAGAAGGAATTCGTATCCTAATAATGATACAATTAATCTTGTCATTGTTCTCTGTAGATACAAATCAAAACAACATCAGCGTAACTATTTCTTCCTACAGAAAGGCTACAGGGCCAGTGATTCATTAAAAGAATTAAGAGGGCCCTTCTTAGAATGCTTTGCATTTAATGAATCAGTCTTTCAATCACCATCCACCACTTCAATCTCATCCTTCACTTTCTCTCTGTTCACAATTATACTTCCCAATTCACCTTATTTTCTACTGTTTTCTGTTACCTATAGTGAGAAGTGGGTATAGATAGAGGTTTGTTTCTGTGATCATATCAGTATAGTTATCGGGGTGCAAATTCTTCAGGCAATTATTATATATTCTCTCCTAAACCTGTATGCTGCCAGTATTTGTATTTAATTGCCGTAAGTAAAGAATGTTATTCAGAAATGTTATTCATTGCAAACAGCAATGACAAAAAGCTACTGTGTTTCTTCTCCGTCTCTTTCAGTAGGCTACTGCCTCTGTTTATTAAATAAAGGAAGATTATTAGGAAAGACTGTCAAATTCCTGTTCTTCTGATGCATCACTTTTCCGTATTAGTGTTACCACCTAAAGGAGTACCGTATTTTTCACCCTATAGGACGCACCGGCCCATAGGACGCACCTAGTTTTGGAGGGGGAAAATAAAGGGAAAAAAATTATTTCCCCCCCCCAGGTGCGGGGCTGGGGCAGGGGAAGCCCGAGCTTCCCCCGACCCCAGCCCACAGAACAGGCAGCTCTCCACAAGCCTTGGGAGACCGTCACGACTTCCCGCCGGGCTCCCACTGCTTGCGGATATCTGCCTGAAGCCCAAACCAGGTCGGGGAACAGCGGGATGGCGGCGCTGCGCCTCCCCGCTGTCCCCCAAGCTTGCGGGGCTGGCGGCGGGGAGAAGCGCGCTTCTCCCCGCCGTCAGTCTTCAGACCATGACGGGGAACCGAAGCCCGGGGCGTGCTGTGCAGCGCGCCCCAGGCTTCGAGATGCAGTCTGCTATCCACAAGCCTAGGGAGCCCGACGCGGGCTCCCAAGGCTTGCTGAGAGCTTCCTGAAGCCTGGAGAGGGAGAGGGGTCGGTGTGCACCGACCCCTCTCCCTCTCCAGGCTTCAGCGAAAGCCTGCATTCGCCCCATAGGACGCATACACATTTCCCCTTCATTTTTGGAGGGGGGAAAGTACGTCATATAGGGCGAAAAATACGGTACTTATCCATGCAGCTATGAGCTAAACACAATGCAAACTCCTTTCAAGGTGGGAAATCCCATTTAATTAAAAATATTTATGGGCTCATTCTTATTTTTGCAAGCCACCTTGGAATTTATTTTTAAATAAACATTGGTGTGGAAATTAATAGGCTGCCTTTCTAAAGTGATGAAAGCAGTTTAGTTAAAATAAGACGGAACAGTAAAGCAAAACCATGATAAAAAACCACCAAAAAATGTATACAAAGCCATCCCAATCATCACTTACAAACCTGGCATATGAATATTGAAAATACTCCTTGTTATATCATTGAGCCTTGACCTTCTGACACTTTAGGATATGGTGGCCTCAATCATTCTTGTGTTATATATATAGCAGATAACTATAATGCATACTATATGAGCTTCCCTTTGAAAATGGTCCAGAAATTTCAGCTGTTCAAAGCGTGGTAACCAGAATGCTATTTCAGGCTAGCAATTCAAATAACTACAATCAAACTGTTTGGTATATAACTCAAAGTGTGAGTTTTTTTTATTTTTTGTTTTAACATATTAAAACCCTCTGTGGTCTAGGATTAGGCTAAATGAAGAATCATATTCTGCTTGACTCCTGAGATCCATATCTAAGGCCCTGTTCAGCTGTCGTCCAACATCAGCAGTGCTGTGGGTGGACATAAAAAGTAGGGCTCTCTAAGTCGATGCACTGACTATTTGGAACATCCTTCAAAGGCAGGCCTCTATCTTTACAGGCCTTCACAGACAATTTTATTACACTGTGGTGCCCATGGGCACAATGGTAATCTTGAAGTCTTCTCCTGCTGCTCATGCAGTCCCTGAATCCCCTGCCTATCCCTTTACTTGCCCCAGGTCAGGCATGTCCACAGTCTGTTTCAGGGGCCTAATCTGGCCTGCTGGTCGATTTAATCTGGCCCGTTACTTTGAGGTAAAATTGAAAGCTCAACAACTCTGGTTGGCGCTCATGCATGTTCACTTCAGCAAATCTGGCCCTCTTTGAAAAAAGTTTGGGCACCCTTCCCTAAATCAGGAGGTTGTGGTGGTGGTTACCTTCTTCTTCCTTGAAATGTGCATACAGCTGAAGGAGAAAGTTGGAAGAATGACTTTTTCCCACTTTCTATTTCAGCTCGATGTGCTTTTAAAGGCTCAGATTATTTCCTCTGGATCTGGCTTCTACCTAGATCCATTAGAAAAGAGAAATTGTGTGCATACACTTTCTTTCTTTTGCTCCAGGGTGTGCGTGATCTAGGAGCTGGGGCGGCCACAGAACTCACTCAACTATGCAAATGTGCCTACAGGCCTAAAAAGGTTGGAAACCCAGAATGAGGCAATCTTTAAGAACTTTACAACCACTGGAATGGAGAGGCTTCATAATCTAGTCTTAAATCCATGTTGAATAAAAGCAGGTATGTATATACTAACACATTCTTACATGGATCAGTAAATTATTTTATAGATCGATTATATGCATGAATAGGTTTTACGGGGGGGACATTTACACAGGCTGGCTTTTTTATATTTATTCTTGTGCTAGCAAAATATTCAGCATTCCAAAAACAATAAATAATCCTAATGAATTACAAAATGGTAAGATGATTAATTACTTAAGCCTATAAATCCACTTTTGCCTTCCTGCCAGAAAATGAGCATAGGCGTATTAGACTGGCATTGTTCAAATAATTCAATGTTAGTCTGCCTATTTTTCAGTGCAATTTAGCAATTTAGCCCAACCATACAAATGGGCTACTTTCCATATTTCACTAGAATCCACTAAAGATTAATAACACAACTCTCACCACTTTGTTCAGCGGTACTTACTTCCAAGCATGTGTGCCTTGAATGTGATGGAGCAAACAAGTCTTGCGAGGAGGGGACACAAGAAAAGGGAGAGGGGAAACTGCCCACATTTTAAAGTAAGACCACCACCTCTAATATTCTTAAATTTCACATGTCTCACAAAGATTAAAAAGAATCTCTGGGGGAGGGAGGGAGAGACCTTTTCACACACACACACACACACACACACACACACACACCAAAACTACTTAAACTAGACTAGACTGGCTTTTGGTCTGATCCAGCAGGCCTTCCTGAGTAAATGTGTGAGACAGCTACATGTCTTTTCATTCTGGGTATACAGTAGAAACATGTAGTATTTCCAAGGTATTATAAACGGAAGGCTACAGGGAATTCAATATAAGCAGATGCCAAACAGTCCTGATAAAAGTTCTTTGTACAATTTCCTAATATAAAGTTCTCCCCCTTAGCATTGTTATAAAAGATTTACGGCCAGAAATACATAGAAGTATTTTAAAATTTATAAATAAATATTTTGGAGATGCAAATAAAATGGGGGGAAAAAACACCATAAAATATCTTGTTTTTGCAATTGGCCACATACCCCATTTTCAGAACGCTTCTCCCCAGGTATACTGATTCCGTTCCTTTGGTTTTGAGTCTGACGGCCTGGGAAGAATACAGTTAGAACATTTAAATGCATTGCTTCTACTGAAACAGCTTCCTAAATCTTAGTCAACTTTTTAAAAGAACATTCTCTCAAAACAAGAACTCCTATTTTGATTTGATGAGAACAATTTATGAGTAAATGTTTTCCAACTTACTGGTGGGACAAGTGTTTGTTTTTCTAGCCCTATTTGAAGCTCAGTTAAGAGCTACACAATGACCGCTGAAACCAACATAATCAGAGTAGTTTTTCTGTGGTGTAACCATCAAGTAATTATCCTCTTTCTTTGTGGATAAATTTAGAAGGGATAGACAGGATTGGGAAACTTCAAACACTGTTCCTGCCCCTTGAAAACTCACCATCACTTTTGCTGGAGGAAACAACATTCCATTTTGTGTAAAGAGCACTTGCTACTGTCACTGCTACTGTTCCAGGGAGGGTAAAGTCATTCCTCTCTTTTAACTAGTTCCCACCAAGAATTGTCTGCCCATCCCTTCACTTGTAAGAACTCAGCCAACCACTCTTGGTATTGCTCCATGAAGGAAGAAAGCAAATCTGGGGTATCTGATGCAAGGTTTGATATTTTTACCAATGTTTTCCTGTGAAACTAGTGTAGCAGTGGTGAACCTCAGGTCCAATGCAGCCCACTTGGCACTCTGAACTTTCCTGCACCACACCCTCTCTCCCTGGGTTATACTTCTCGCAGTCCTTGCTTTTATTTGGGGTGTTTTTTTCCTGTTTGGAATGTGTCAATGAACTCTGAAAATGTCCCTTGCCTGTTTGGATTGAGGACAGAGGAGTGTATGAGTGTGTGTAGAAACTAGCCTACTGTACAAAGGTAAGATTTACACCCACTGCTCCATTTGCTTTTGCCTCTGGCCTTGACCACCAGTTAATCCAAGTCAAGGTTCACAAGCCAACTTCAAATCATAGTTTCAGACATAGGATCCAACTCCTAGGGATTGAGGTCCCTTCAGCCCCCCAATAATACATTTGGGGGCCAGCCCCAGCCCGTTAATGGGCATTGCCATTCAAGTGGTGTGCATGCACCACATCTTGTGCTTGATTATGCAGGGTGGGACTTACCTGCCCTCCCCCCATATTTTATTCAAGTTGGCTCCCCTGATTTCAGATCAAGTCATAGTTAGTTGGTTGGGGCAGATGTAAAACATACCATAGTTGAGTGAAACAAACCAGAGTTTAGGACTGCATCCGAACACAGCCATCATCACAAACCCATTATCTGAAATGAATTTCTAAAGGAATCCTCTTCCAGATTAGAATGCTTGGATTGTCTCTTTTAGTAGATGTTATGCACTTAGGAACATAGTTGGTATGTTTTATATAAGCTCAGGAGGCAGGCTGCTTAGACATTTGAGAAAATGTACACTAGGCATTAGGCTCAGTGGTAACTTTATATATTTGATATATTTTCTACCGACCTTAGCTTGTGTAACCTGTTTATAGTGAAGCTTGGCAGAACCCAATTTTATCACCACTATGAATGTGAATGAAGCCTGGCTTGATTGGCTGCTGCTGCTACATACTGGCAGCTAAGCTGCTTGGGGATGCAGCTACAGGCTCTCACTCTATAATAATACTGGGAGTGACTGACCTAGTAATGACTTTGGAAGAAGAGGTGGGGTGGGTGGAAGGAATGTGGAATTTAGAGAAGAGCAAGTAGCAAGAGAACATAGGGATTAAAAGCTCAACTGCAGAAAAGTCCAAGTACAACATGCTTGTAAAGGCAAAAATACATACATGTAGAAGTTGGAAGAAGCAGGTATTAGGAAGGAACCCAAAGGTGGCTCTGAATGTTAGAAGTGCTGGCAAGCATGTACGTAAGAGTGATAGTTTTTTTCCACCGGATGTAATGCCCAAAGGGAGAATGTTTGCATCTTCTCTGGAGGGTCAGAAATGGCTAACATATAGCCTGTATCCTGTATGCAGCATCCAGCCCCCAGCCCCTGAGGATTTTGTGCCTTCCCCAAATACCCATTAAAAAAAATAATGTTGTTGTTGTTGTTGTTTTTGTCAACCATTCCTGATGTGTCCCTACTATAATGTCATTATACTTAAAAGCCTTTTTCTGAGCCCAAACCCCATTTTTTGCCCAATTTTAAAATGTATGTTTTTTGAAAATGTGTAAGGAAACATACTCAGCTAGCAAGAGAAAGACAGATTAAGCACATTGGTTTTGGGTGTCTGCAAACCCAAATACTTTACACATCCTTGTCAGGCTCCAACAAAATCCTGACATTATTTTTGAAGTCATTCATGTAGGTTGGGTTTTTTAAATTTAGTCTTCCAAATACCTGCTCCAACAGTTTCTGAAATTTTCTCTGTAACCATGATAATTAGCAGCTTACTTGTAAGAATTAAAGCTGAGATTATTATTGGGGGCACATCTTGGGAACAGAAAGGGGAGAAGGAAGAACGGCTGTAGTGTCTGGAGGCAAAAGGTTCTTACAATTCATGAGCTTAATGAGTGGATAGGTGGAAGGAAGAGAAAGCAAAACAGAAATGTTTAAGGACTTGAGAGGTAATGAAGAGGAAAAAGAAGAAACAAGGGGAGAGTGGGGGCAAAATAATGCTGGATAGAGTTGGGCAGCTGTGGTAAAGGCCTATATGTGGGGAGCAGGGGACGCTTTGCCCTATAGAAATTCTTTTATTTAGCTTCAACCATCTGTACTATAGAGTCAACAGTACAGCACAAGTATTTTGTCATCATATTGCTTGTCTTTACAAAACTGAGTCACATAAAGATGAGCTGCTGAGGCACCAATGAACAATTTAAAATATACCCACCTTGTTCACTACTTTCTGTTGGGGATTCTTCATGTCGAAGAAAAAACTTGACCTCCTCCCTACGGGGTCCCCACTTCTGTAGATGGTCATACATCATGTGATCAAAGGGGATGTGTCTTTCTAAATATAGAAAAATTAAATGTTTCTTATCAAAGCAACTTCTTGGACATTTGTTTGCAGTAAGAAAATAAAATGAAGTGTTAACAGTTTATTTTACTTTTCTCTCACCTAATAACTTTTTTCCAAATCACATTAGTAGGGTCCAAATAATTTATTTCAGTTTCTCAAACATTTGCTTTTCCAACTTTTTTGAGGGGGGAATCTTCAAGGAATAAAATTGTTTTGAATAATTTTTCAGAAAGTTGCACGTCTTACAAAAGCTGAGTTTTTAAAGGGCATAGTTTTCATACCACCAAGCTATTTGCATATAACTAATTTAGTCGTCTGGGATAGCCAATATGGTGTCCCTCAGATGTTGTTGTACTCTAATGCTCATCCTCCCTGACCATTGACCATGCAGGCTGGGACTGATGGGAGCTGTAGTCCATAACATCAGGCAGGCTTCACATTGGCTATCCCTGTTACAGTCCAACAAAATATAAGGAGATCACCATTGTTCTAGCCAAGGCCTTGAACAACTTGTGAGCCAAAAAACTCAGGAGGCTATCATGTTCTTGGCAAGGCTACAGTACATGGCAGGTGTTTGCCATGACAGATCACAAGTTCTACTAGCCTAGATAGTATTGTATTACTACTTCATACAAGTCATTTATGTAAACTAAGGTGTGAAACAGTATATAAATTGCTGAGATAAATAAGCTGGTGAAGCTACTAAACAATGCCAAATAATGACTTTTGCAGAATGATACCAGTCCATTTATTACTGTCCCAATGAGCATGATCTCTCCTTCACTCCATTGCCATCTGAAGAGGTAGCCATTGTGGTGCTCTCCAGATATTGCTGGACTACAATTCCCATCATCCCCAACTATTGGCCATACTAGCTGAGGCTGATAACATCTAGAAGGTGACCCTTCTACTTCATTTCTTAAGCTTTCAAAAAGAAAAGGGGTATAATATACCATTAGGTCAAAAGTTTGCTAAAGTCAAAGTACATTGGGTTAACAGACCTTTTGCCAATCACTTTTTCCAAAGAAGGCAACTAAGCGGGTTTGACAGAAGTGCTTCTTTACAGTTCACGAGGATTGCTAAACATCATTCTGGGCTGCTGATGTAACAAATGGGGAGAGGACTCTTTTAAGCTCCTTCACGCTCCTGATGTATTCCTTCCTCTCCCCACACCTTAACAATATTAAATGGACCTTAGTTAAGTAAGGCTCTTTGTAACATTGGCTCTCTGACTGCTTCAGTGTCTGCTCTAATCTCTCTCCAGGTATACTGATTTTTAATTTGCTCTTTACCCATTTTCTGGGGATTGTGCCATACAGAGCTAATTTATAGTAATTAAGGCAATTATATGAGACTTTCATCTTCTGCCAGAATTAGCTGGGTGGGCAACTTCTCCCATTCTGAGGAACTCTTCACATCTATTTTGTTAGCCATAGGTTTAAGGCTAAATGCGCACATTTAGTTACTGTACATGCAAGTCCATGTTATATACAAACCATCTTCACAAAGATGCTACTAAATTAAAGGTGCTACAAAAGGTGCTACTAAATTAATTTTGAATACCATGCCTCTTCTAATGATAATTTAGAGGGCAAGTGTTAATATAATGGCTGGGCGGGGTGGGGGAGCACAGCATTAAAACACAACATTGACATGTCTGACAATCCTATTTTTATTAATTAACCATTTTCATATTATCAGCCATCTCCCTGCATTCTGAAAATGCCTTCTCATTTTGAGCCTGAGGGGGAAATGTGTATGTAAGTATGTTTCCCTAAGGTTGATAGTGCTAGAGCTGTTGAAAATTAGAAAGGCTGCAATTGTCTCAAACAAGAATGAAATTATAAAGCCTGGCATAATATTGAGCTACTGCCCTCCCAAAGTAAAAATTCAGCATAAAATCACTAGTTCAGGACACCAAGTGATTGCTTACCATTTCCACGCCAGACTTCAGAAAGATGGCAACTACCTTCCCCAGGTTCTTTGCAAAATTCCACCACATCTCGGCAGGTTGTTTCAGGTGTAATTGGCACTTCAGTCAGAATCTGTTCATTGTTACTCAGGAACACAGTTAATATCATCTGGAAAAAAGAAAAAAAGGCACCATATAGAGTCAATCTTTCAAAGTGTCACAGGTTTTGATTTGCATAAAATATCATAAACACACCCAGGTTAGGCAGATGGGTTGAAACTACTGACAAATCTCCAAGTGATTTGCCATAGATCTGCAAGGATTTTCAGCTCCCAATAGCTGAACATGCTAAACTTTAAAATTATATAAAAAATTGCCTCCTCACTGGCAAAAGTGTGGACATAAAAACATTGTTGTTGTGGAAGTGCTTGGTGCTTAAATAAACTAAACAGTGCCTAACCTTGGTTTAGGAGAGGTTAATGTCACAATAACCATATATTACTCAGAACTAACCCTCACTAAAGTCCATGGGGATGGCTCCCAGATAGGATTAGAGGCTGAATTAATTAGTCTTAAAGGTGCCACACTTTCACCAATGGCAAAACATGGTCAATCAATAAATGCTGAACTAACTAAATGATTATGGCAATATTCTACCACAGTGAGCAGTTGAGCAGCTGCATCTTGCACTGGCTGCAGCTTCTGGGCAACCTCAGGGGCAGTACCACCAAAGTGCACAGCAGCAATGTGGCCAACAGTGGTCAGTCTATCCTGATTTAGAAACAGCTGGAGTTGGTAAAAGGTACTTCTACCCACTGAGATTACTTGGGCCTCGAGAGCTAGAGATGGACCCGGGAGTAGCCCCAGACTATGAACCCTGCTCTTGAATCCTGCCAGGATTCAGACTCCATTTGTGGGCCCTCATTCAGCCCACCACCAAGTCTAGGTACTGGTTTGGGACTTGCATGGCCTCTCCTGATACAGCATACTGATGACATCTCACCCCAAATCTCCTAAAGATTACTCCCAATGGTTCCCAACAGCTTCATGTAGATGTTAAATAGCACTGGAGACAAGATAGTAACCTACAGCACCCCACAACACAACTGCCAGGGGAGCAAAAGATAATCACCCAATGTCATACTCTGAAATAGATCCTGGAGATAGGATCGGAATCAGTGTAGTGTAAAACAGTGCCACCTCTTGGGATCCACCATGCCAAGTGATCCCATCACCTGCCTGTCAAGTGATTGATAACTCCCATTTTTGTAGTGTCTGGCAGTGAGCAAAAACAGACTTATGAATCCCTTGGTGAGTTGCACTAGATTAGAAAGTTAACAAGTTGTACTACTTGGGCTAAGCAGCCTTCTAGAATTCTGTGCCCTCCAAATGTTTTGGAATGAAACTCCAATAACCCCTGAACACAGATCATGCTAATGAGGGGTGCCACCTCAGTCACTGTGCTTCACAAATTTATGTGGGCAGGCATCAGCAGACACTTTGATAGTTTCAATGAGGCTCTTGGGGGCATACATACTTTGTGAAAGAAATGTGCATTCTTTTCCCCACAAATATCAGGGCTGTGTTGGCATGGTCTACACCAGTCTTCCCCAACCTGGTGGCCCCAGATGCTCTGGAATAAAGCATCCGTGATAGCTCACCATTGTACATGCTGGCTGCGACCAAAGAGAGTTGGGAGTCCAACAACATATGAAGAACACCAGGCTGGGCAAGTCTAAAGTAAACCAATATCTAAGAGCTACTTTTATCACGTAATTCCAGCAGCAGAATTTTTGTTTTAACATATTGATAAAAATACTACTATGGCTACTGCAGCATTAAAATGTTAGGCAAACATGTTTTTATGCAGATGACTCACTAGGAAGAAAGCCTGTGCCTTGTCAAAACTACTGCTTTCAAAGTGAATAATTAAATTTTTGTTGTTAGAATAGCAGAGCTAAGGCCCACAGCTAATTTTAGATCTTAATGAAAAATCTACTTAGTAGCGAAGTCAGACATTGAGAAGCTATTAATTCCAGTACATATTCTCGCACTGGCAAATTTATTTGTATGCATAAATAAGGCTATGTCTCCATTAGTGGTTTAAAACACAGTAAGGTCATTTTCCCCTGCTGTTCTTCAAGTTACATTTGAACATTGCTGTACACACCAGATAAGCAATGGGAATGTCTTCACCCAATGTGCATTTCCTGCTTGGTTTCCCAATGTCTGCAAGCCCCCCACCCCAGCCATACCCCCCACCCTACCCCAAACTCGCATTCACAAAGCTGCCATCTGCAAATGTATAATGGCTCTCTCAAATGTACACACTTCAGCTTAACTGTAAAGTGAGTGTGTCTTCTGTTTTCAAATTGGATAAAAGCTGGTTTGAGGGGAAAGGCATCAAACAGCAATATTTCTCAAGAAACTACAGGATAGATATGGATTGTGGCTCACTTCATGTGCACATGGCTTCAAACAACAGCAGTGAGAGCACACTGGAGCCAGAATAAACAGTAATGTGTGCACAGCCTAAGATTTATTTTTCCTAAATGAGCATGAGAAGCCTACAGTTGCACCGTGCTAGAATGTCAAACAAGACTTTGGTGCAGCAGTTCCCATGGCACATGGGGTAGGATCACAGGACAACTGGAGAAAAGGACTGTGTTATCCTGTGCCAAACCATTTGCTTGGATTCTTCAGAATTGTCCATTGTTTTTAAGTAAAATTATGCAATCATGAATGGTATACAATACCTACAGAAAATGTTTTTGGAAGACATGCTTATAAAATAATAACAAAGGGCATGTTAAAGGTGTTGCAAATATATATTCATTGCATGCAGTATATTAGACTGGGATCCATACAGTCTTATGTTTATTTAAGTTTATTTCTCCCCCAGCAAACAGGGAGTTGTCTGTAATGCATGTAAATCACACCTTTTCTCTATTTAGCTCAAGGTGGCATACACACTTCTATCGCTCTCCATTTTATCCTCACAACACCTCTTTGAGATACAGTACGTTAGGCTGAGAGATAGTGACTGGGTCCAAGGTCACCCATAAGCTTCATGGCTGAGTGGGATTTGAATTCTGGTTTCCCAGGTCTTCGTCCAGTACTCTAACTACTACACTATGCTGGCCTTTTCCTTTTCGCTGTATCACATCACTCCATATCAAATGATGCTTTGAGAGCAGATTTTGATGGAGTACAAAGAATTGAAGTAGGAAAGGACTGGCAGAAGAGCCCTGGTGCACACATGAACACCACACATGACCCTTTTAATTCTGGGCATAACATAGTTATGTAACATTTTTCTAAAGCAAAACTGTTTCACATTCACCATCTCAGGGTCAACTGGAAGGCAAAAGCCTTACCATCTCTTTGACATGATGGCATACCATATAAATACAATGCTACAAAGGGGAGCATTCAAACATGATCCCCCATCCTCCGCACGCACACAGTCCTGCAATGTGAAGCTGCACAGTTCTGGAAGGGCTGCATTATGCAGAGACTAATGTCTGTACAATTGACTCTGTCATCAATAATATTTAGAACAGCCTATAAGGTAAAACAACTTAATCCCCTTATTACAGATGGAGTTCTGAGACTGTGGGGCAGCAAACTTGCCTTAGGCTACCAAGCCACCTCATGGCTGAACTTGAACTTCCAGCTCATATATGCAACACTATACTGGGCCTCAACTAATTAACACAATAAAACATGTCTTACCTACACAAGGTGTAATCAAGCACAAGTTAAAGTTACAACTTTTAATGTGTGTCACATAATACAATCCAGTAGAACTTTGCCTATTGGAAATATAGAAGCAGCAGGAAGGAAAGTGCTGTTGAGGGATGATATGCTTTCCTCAAATAATAAAGAGTGAACACAAACCTTGGCTTCAGAAGGAAATCCTTCTCTCTTGTAACTCTCCCAGTAGTAATGAAATGATAATTAACGGCTTTATTGCCAAGAAGAAAAAAGGAAACAGTGACCAAAATCCAGAGAGTCACAAAACTACTTCTGCATGTCCAAGGCAGCTTTGGGATGATGTTTATTGAATAGCAGCCTCCTTGTGTCACATAACAAGCCTCTTTCAAACATTGAGACCTTTCAAAAACAGTCTGATCTAGCAAGGGAGGGGGAGGGGGCCTTGCTGTTCTGGGGGTGGAGGGAGTAAAAAATACCCCTGGGTGTGTCTAAGCCCTCAGGCATACCAAACTAACTTCTTTGGATCAGAGACAAGTTCCCAAGCAATACTTCAGACATTTCAGTGGGACTGCCATTTTCATTAAGATTTTCAAAGGAAAACACATCTTTATCTAAAAAGGGGGGGGGGAGTCAAACCCACAGGACTGCATTCCTCTAGAACTTGAGGAAAGAAAAACTTTGTTTTATCTTCAACTTTAGTACATGATTTCACTCCCTATTTCCTATCTGACTTCACATAGGAAAGAATTGGGTTTTCATGTTTCAATGCATTTCAATCCAAATAGCATCTTTATAATATCCTGTTAACAGAAAAATGAATTCCCTATGAACAAGCTATCAAAATGCAACCTGCATATTCTGAAAGAACCTTTTAAAAAAACAATGCTTAATCAACTCGACAGTTAACTTTTAAGAGATTTCCTGGTTATCGGGATTGCTTGCAAATGAGACATTGTGTATAGACTTCATGTTTCCAGGAAAAAAAACATAAAGACCAGGCTTCCTTTTATAGAACAATAAAGCTACTGTAACTTTATATATTTCTGATCACAGAAACCATCTCTGATTATTTAAGCTAGCTGCATTTTAAATAAAGTGATTTTCTGATGTTGCCTACAAAATCACTTGCTTCAATCTCTGGGGTAAAGTCTTGCTAGCTGAGAGTCTAGGACAAGAGAGGGAGCCTGGGCTCTCCTGTGCCAGCTCTCATTGCCATGGTGAATTTTTCTAATTTAGATTGGGTGGGGGGGAAGGTCATTGTTGCATTTTGTTCACAAAATGAAGGATAGAAGGAGTGTGTGGATTTTACTATATGAGGCACTGGATACAGCATTCATTAGCCTACTGGTGCTGAGCTGGGATATGTGTGTGGTTTCTTTTAACAGGCTCCTCCCCACTAGCCTTGTTCCTCATTATGAAACTGAACCATATTCAAGGTGCTTCTTCCCACTCTGTGACTTCTGCAGTCTAGAAGGCTGCTGCTGGCAGTGCAAGTTTGCTGGTGGGGAGCCCCAACTGTAGGGAGATTCAACATCAAATGTAAGAATCCAGAGTTTGACCCTATGTTCTGGTTGCATGGATACATTCCAAAACAAATCCAATTTGGTGGGCATTTTCCTAGTTGGAATATAAAGGATTTGTTTTATTTTTCTCCTCCATTTTAGAATATTATGTAATAAATTTTATTGACTTTTTAGATGATAATATAAACAAGATAACCAAATTTTAAAAGTTTTGAAACCCCTTCCTTAAATCATTTTGTTAAATAAAATAAAGGTTCATGGTTAGCAAAGTTTTCACCTGTGCATTGGAAGGCAAGGATTCCAAGACACAAATTAGTAACAACACTACTCCACTATATAGAAAGACCATGCCAGGGTGAGGTGTGTGATGGAGGCAGGAACATTCAGCTATCTAACAACCTCTGCTCATAACAGCAGTTAAGTTGCTTTGCAGAATATGGACTATGAAGCCCATCTCTACCTCCACTCTGCTACACTTATTCTACAAAGTCTAACAACTTACAGAAACACTGCCTGGCTGACTTGGCCTATCAAACCAGTCCCTTTCACTATGTCTATCGATAAGTTGTCTATTTAAAATAAAATAAAATAAAATACTCCTATCTATTTTATGCAAGTTTAATTTTTACATAGCTGTGAACAATGAATTATATTCTCTGGAGTGGCACTTCCCTACCTCCAACAGCAGACAGAAAGGATAAATGATTATAGATCTAGTGTGGTGTGCATTTTAAAATTTATGCACGTCTTCATGAGTATGTACTGATTCCTAACATATTAAACATTTTGTCAGCAAGATACAATTACATGTTGCTATGGACACATTAAGATGCCTCAGAAGCCAATGCAGTGCTACAAAAATAGAAGATACTTGAAGTAGTTATAAAAGGTCCACAACAATTTATATATTCTCCACAGTTCTGCATGTCTGCCTGCTCATCTTCTCCACCTGAACTATGTATTGCAGGAAAACTGAGAGAAGGGAAGGTAATAGACTAGAGTTTGTGGAATATGCAATATCTAACTTGGGGAGAGGGGGACTGTTTATAGATACTTACATCCTGCCCTTGCAAATTCCATTAAAAAAATCATTCTATAAATCACCCATTGAAGAAGAGGACCAGCAACTGAATGATAAAATGCACTGTCCCCCACAGAACAAAAAGTCTATTGGAATAAAAAGGACTTAAACAAACAGCAAGGGATGGGGCCAACCATATTTCACAGGATGTTCTAGGATCTGGGTGTGGCCACTGGGAAGGCTCTCTGTCTGTCTGTCTCTCGTGCATGCTTCCATGGCAGGCAAGACGTAAAATGCCGTTTCTCCCTCAGATCCTAGGAAGGAGGCAGAAGTGTTAGCTAAGTTATCCTGGGCCTAAGTACTGCTTTACTCTTCCTCTTTAGGAAAGCTTCAGCACCTTAGTGCCAGCAGAAGTTAATTACACCAATCGCCACCTTTGGCAAAGATCTATTTACATTCCTAGCACCCATAAAAAGAAATGTGTAAAATCTATATACTTAACATGGTTACATGTTACAGCTAAAGAGAAGAGGGAAAGGAGACAGCAGAGGAACTTATAGCTGGATCCTATGTATGTCTATTCCAAAGTAAATCCCACTGCATTCAATGAGGCTTACTCCCAGGTCAGTATATGTAGGATTGCAGCATGAGGGGGAAGGAAAACTGAAGCCACTTGCTCACTTCCCAATCCATTTTATGGTCATATTTCCATACACATTTCCACTAGCCATTGTTTCTAAGTATGGAGCAGAATGCCCCCTTTCCCAGGCTAAAATAAAAGCCAACCTCTAAAGCAGGCATGTCCTAAGTCCGTTTCGGGGGCCTAATCCGGCCCTCCAGTCGATTTAATCTGGCCCCCGTGTCAGTATATGTGCTGGGGTAAAATCCAAAAAAAAAAAGCTCAGCAACTTCAATACTAAAAAGAGCTCAACACCTTTGGCCAGCCCTCACGCATGTTCACTTCGTCAAATCTGGCCCTCTTTGAAAAAAGTTTGGGCACCCCTGCTCTAAAGTTAGGCTCGGCTTAGTGCCAGCCCTCCGCAACACAGTCACCACTTCCTTTCACTATCCAAACTTATCAGGAAACAACAGGGAGGCTTAATTTTATTTTATTACTTATTTATTAAAATTTCTATACCACCTGTCATCTGAGGATTACAAGGCAATTTACAATATAAAAACACAAAAATATCTAACATAGTATCAAACAAAATCAGTAAACCCTCCCCAACCCTAGCCCATCAGTACTGCCACATTAGTTTCCAAGCCACAAGATCTATGGAACATGTGATCCTGCTAATCCTTGCAAAATTGCCGGGTACCAGTGCAGAATCTTAGACACAAGATGTAGTTATCATCGATCCTAGGATGTCATGATCCATAAGAACTGTATCTTTTGCAGTACGTGCACCCAGTATGCTGCCATAAGTGATAAAGGACCCATCCTAAACACAGTGGGTCCTTTGTTTGGAATGGGGCTAAGTTTAAAATCTTATTTGAGTCCCAAGTCAAATGGAGCCCTAATTAGCTAATCTAAGGATAACGTTTTTCCAGTTAAACCCAAGCAAGTCTCCCCACACAATTTGGGGGCACATTTCTCTACTTGGGATATAAAGATTCAGTTATATAAATCTATGAAAAGAGTAAAATGAATCACACACAGCAAATGAGTAACAACTACACAAAACAATGAAATGACCTTAAGGGTGTTTTCACAAGTGATATAAAGAGTGTATTTCCCCTTGAAATGTAACGCTTGTGATTGTTAATAAAGCATTAAAAAAATGAAGGCAGCCATTTTAACATTGAAAGAGTATTCTAGGTAACGTAGGTTTTTTTATTCCATTTTTAGACACAGGAAATACAAAAACTGTTCTAACTGTCACTTATGAAAACAGCCTAAGGCATGACCTTCCAAATCAGTGCTACAAGGTTAAACTACGCAAACCAACCTTTCCAATCTCACAACTATGCAGTCTCTTGTTCACTGCAACATGGTGCACTGCTTTTCCAACTTACAAATATGCCCCCCCCCCAAGCCAAGCTAATACAGATCTCGTGAGTCTTTTCTGTCATTCGTACAGCAGCATGGAACAAATCAGAAGATTGGGAGACAGCTGCCAGGTCACTTATGAATTCTCCAGATAAGCACCAATTTCAGTACAACAAACAAAGATCCCTGCACCAGGAAATTGCATTTCCCCAAAAAACATTTATTCACAGATATTAATAATGTGACTAATGGCAGCAGTATCTTTTTATGAACAGTAGCAAAAGGCTGAACTACCTCTACCATTTATACACCACTTGCTTATTAAAAAATCTCAAAGTGATTTACAAAAAGATAAAACAATAAAATTGAGAAAAATTCACAACCCTTCTTTAAAACATACACGAATTAAAATACTAAAACAGATTAAAATTACCTCAGCTTTCTAAGCATCTTGGTAGGCTTGTTGTCTATACAATAATGTTTTTAGCAGGTGTCAAAAAGAGTACAGTGAAGGTGCCTGCTTGATCTCAATAGGCAGGGAGTTCCAAAGTGCAGGTGCTGCCACACTCAACAACTGAGTTCTTACAAATGCAGAACGGGTATTATGTGGCACCTATAGTAGTACCAGTTCTGCTGACTGAAGCGGTTGATCATTAGCAAAATGCTTTTGTTTACAGGGTACTATCAATAGGATAAAGAAACATATACAGATATATGCTCAGGGCAGCTGTTTCTCACAAACTTCTGGTGGTTATTATTATTATTATTAGGAATATAACACAAGCTAGGAGAACAAGAAAATAGGATTGAAAACAAATTCTAAAATTTGCTTTTGTTTAAAAGAATTCAAACACACATAATGTAAACAAAGCAAAACAACTTTCCAATCAAGTGCATGTACAAAGACAGCATCATTGAATGGATGCAAACCTCTACAGAGGAAAGCAGTGTTTTTCACTTAAAAGCTCAGAATCACAAGATTATGTTCACTCCTATAAAATAATGCTACAAAAAAGAACACAATAATATAGCTATAAGTTATGTTAACTAGCTCTCACCTTTTTTTTCATTATTTTGCCTATTTTCCCATTTCTCTGTTTCAGGCCGCTCCTCCCCAGTTGCCAAATGTTCTCTTTTGATGTGTTTAAGACGCTTTGAACAATCATTCTTAGAATGTTCCTCATGTGTAAAGCCACACAGAGAGATTTAAAAATGAACTTAAAAAGTGAAAGCTGGAATCTAAAACAGTTTCTGTGCAAAGGCTACAGTGCTACAATCTACTTAAATGGATATTCTGGTCTGGTGTGCAGCTATATGAATACAAGAGGTAGTGACGTGCCTAGATAAGACAGCCTAATGAAACAAGGCAGAGCACAGTTGTGACAGCAAGTAGATATGGTGGATTGAATTTCACCTAATTAGGTAACCTTACATGAGGAGCTCTCTTCATCAAGTGTGTAGTTGTACTAACTGCTGCCTCTGTTTAAGCAGTGTCGCATTTTAAAAGATGGGCTAACTTTGAAGTGATTATTACATAATCTAATAATATTTTGCCCCAAGAGGTCTAATTGCAAAACCTGTTAAAAATCTACTTCATAGGATTAGGATTAATGGGAAATTAGTCTGTTGTTGTTGTTGTTGCTGTTGATAATAATAATAATAATGATGATGATGATGATGTAATGGTCCTTCTGACCAATGTAGCTATTTAGGAACAATTTGTTTTACAGCTGCAATCTTCATGTATGCTGTGTATAGGCAAAGTAATTACTTTTAGAATGGTCAGCAATTTACTTCAGCACATATGCCAAAAAAACACAAAAATATTAAACTATTAGGAAACTGGAATTCTTGAAAGTGATCAGCTGAAAGGGAAAATTGTTGCTTACAACTACATAAAGCACATAATGCCTTTTGATATTTAATTGGCTAGATTTTCAAGATGTTAGGGTTTTTTTAACACAAAATATAAAAGTAATTACAGTTACTTTTTTGATTACTTTTGCTCAAGAGATTTAGACTGTGCCCACATTTCACATTAAACCATAAATCCTTAACTCTGGTTTAGCATGAATAAGCAACACACTGGTGCATGCTGCCCCCAAGTCCTCACTTTGCAACAAACCACAAGCCCTTCTTTGTTGTATTGTGCACTCATGGTTTGTTTTTCCCTAAACAAACCACAACCAGGAAGGAGAAGAATATATATTGACTACCATTTGTGGTTAGGAGAGAAACAACCCACAAGTCCAGGTTCAGACAACACAACAAACTAAGGCTTATAGTTTTTTTCTCTTGGTGTAGCATGGTCAGGAATGTGGGTAGGAGGAAAGCAAAGCCTGATAGTATACTAGGCTGGGCAAATGTGGCTATTATTCATTTAGTACCATAAATGAAATAGGTGAAACAGCTCACCCCAAGGGCTCATTAGGGGAAAAAATCCATTTCTCCTTAAGCAGCTTCAAAAGATGTAACGATTTAAAGGTAAAGGTACCCCTGCCCGTACGGGCTAGTCTTGCCAGACTCTAGGGTTGTGTGCCCATCTCACTCTATAGGCCGTGGGCCAGCGCTGTCCGGAGACACTTCCGGGTCACGTGGCCAGCGTGACATCGCTGCTCTGGCGAGCCAGAGCCGCACACGGAAACGCCGTTTACCTTCCCGCTTGTAAGCGGTCCCTATTTATCTACTTGCACCCGGGGGTGCTTTCGAACTGCTAGGTTGGCAGGCGCTGGGACCGAACGACGGGAGCGCACCCCGCCGCGGGGATTCGAACCGCCGACCTTTCGATCGGCAAGCCCTAGGCGCTGAGGCTTTTACCCACAGCGCCACCCGCGCCCCATAAAAACAGTACAAGACTGTAAATAATTAGTACAGCACATCTTTCATTTTACTTCATATCAAGTTCTACTTATTTTATGCAAGCAATAAAGTTTTATTTTCCAACTCTCTCTTCACTTTGGGACATGAAATGCAAAGGCATTTAGTTAGGATGTAATCCTGTACACATTTTAAATGGGAGTAAGTCCCAATGAATTCAATAGGACTTCTAGAAAAACATGTATAGGACTACTCTGTTAATGTACAGCTAAGATTAAGTTTTGTAAATAAGAACATGTTCATATAAAATTTAGAAAGCAGTTCTAGAAAGATGCACTAATTGATCTGTTGATGGCTGAAAGATACAAAACCACAAAATGCTTCCTCTCACTTCCGAAAGTAGAACCACATGATACATACCAAAGGTAGCTGGCTTTATGCTAGCCCAAACATATCTCCAAACATAGTCAAGACAACAGCTTTCTGCTCAAAATGATAGCAAACAAGATGTGGTTCAAATACCCAAGTCAGCCACCAAGTATTTTTTTTATTTTCTTTGCCTAGAGCATACTGGCCCTAATCCAACTCTGGTCATACACAATGCAGCAAACAAAAAAGCAAAAGCAAAACCAGGACAAGAATGCAATTTTAATTTAAATGCACATCAGACTCTGCACTTGAATCAAACCAAAGAAGTATGGATAGACTGCATATGTCTAAGAATGTGTGTCTAAGACTACAACTATACTTACCTAAAAGTAAGTTACACTGAAATCAGTGGTGCTTACTTCAGACTAGATAGATAGATAGATAGATAGATAGATAGATAGATAGAAAAGATTACACAGTTAATAAGTGCAGGATTTGCACCTATGGTTTCCAATCCAGTAAATTATACATGCACAAATACTTTGTATGCACACAGTTCTCTTTAACAAAGATGTACATGCACTCACCACAGAGATTTCATCCCCTACTATAGTCTTTTTCTGCAACAAGGAATCTAAAATTGTACTTACAAAATAGCCATAAAATAAAAAGGCAAAGCAGATATATAAAGGAGCAAATGAAGCTGCAAATCTTCTAAGTCATTCAGAGAAACATGTTGAGATGGATTTCATGGTTTATTTAAGCAATGGCTCAAGACACTTACACTAGTGCCTTCAACACAGCATGGCAGCAAATCATACTAAATGAAAAATGTTATTGGGTTTGAGTCCAAGTGCTAGTTATCACACTCATGGTTGAAACAGTCTATGGAATTGGAACTGAGGTCTGGTAACCATGGAGAAGGATATTTTAAACCTAATACTTTAATATATTGGTGCTACACCTCAAACTACGTTTAAGTAATTCACATACAGTAAATCTGCAGCATATAAATTCTGAATCTCCTTTTATTATTATTCTTAGATAATTAACCATAGGACACAATCACTAAAGGCTTATTTACACAAACAGGAATACTTGAAGTTATTTCAGTGATTGTTAACTCAAGATTGTTACGGTGAATCAGCAATTATTGCATGCCAGAATAGGAGATTTTCAACTATATATGCTTCCTGAATTTCATCCACCTTTACATACCTGAGGTCATGTTGCATACCTTGTCAGTTATGCAAACTAAGAAAAGACAAAAACTTCTATATATCACTACTTCAATGTCAACTCACTTAAGTAATCCCTTGATACTATAAGCAAATTATAGAGTGAAGCAAGATAAGGGTTTGCTATCTCAGGATAAATACATGTGAATGAGTCTCAAGTGCTCTGCTCAAGTAAAAGGGGAATTATGGTCAAAAACGGGTCAGGGGATCAAACGGGAGCTTGTGATTTTGCATGCTGATGTCCATTATTATTGGCCACTGAAGGCTGCACAGTGGAAAGCTATGGGGCAGTACTATTCCCTTCAGGCTCCAGTATCACTCCACCCCTTAGATAGTCCATTGATTTGACTTATGACCACCTAGCTATAAATGCTTCCAGATTATGATAGGACTTTATCTGGACAATAATTTAGGCTTTCTTATCTGGCTTGTTACTCTTTCTTGCATTTGGCTCCAGCCTGCTTGCATCATGCTTCCTTTCCAATTGATATCTTGTCTAACTACCTAGTTTAGACAACCCTTTTTGTGCAATGCCCTGAAGCTCAGATCAAAGGCTCTTTGCCTAACAATGCTAACTCCAGAGCCTGGACATAATCAAGTTTAGTTCTATATTGGCTCTCTACACCAGGCTTCCTCAAACTCGGCCCTTCAGATGTTTTTGGCCTACAACTCCCATGATCCCTAGCTAGCAGGGCCAGTGGTCAGGGATGATGGAAATTGTAGTCTCAAAACATCTGGAGGGCCGAGTTGGAGGAAGCCTGCTATACACCCATGATAGAAGGGATCCCTAATTAATGTTATGAACAGGTGCCTTAATTAAGCCAAAGATTCATGCATTTGTAATTACACCCATCATTAGCCATTTCCAGTTTGTGCACCTACTTTTGCCTTCTGACAGCTAATTAGTCACTTCCACTCTTACTCCAAAAATGTATTATATAATTTTATTGTTTAAGTTTCTTTTTGACCCATATGTGGTGAAAAGCTGGGTATAATTTTTAATAAATAAATAATCTAGCTCCCCTTATGCTCTTATGAGATGGGGACACAATGGAGCTGCATCTTATTTTATTGGTGCATTCATGTTTCTTTCAGAACCTTGAAGTAAATTGTAGAACTGAATAGGTAACTGCCATTACTTTATTCTGAAGTGCCTAACTAACTGGACAGCTAAGAAACTTTGGCTTAGTCTTGCTACCTTTGAAACAGCTCATGAAATATTTCTTTATAGGCAACTAAGGTATGTCTGGTTGCACAAGCAAAACACTTTACCTTTATTTCTTATAGACAGACAGTTATGCTGCAATGGCTGAAGATATCACAAAAAGATTCCTAAGACTGTGTAACTCCATGTATGACTCATGGAAGACATTGCTGCTAACCCATTCTTTTTTCCCGGAAGAAGACTGAAAATGTATTAAAATGCCACTGCATATGTGAAAAAGTATGCCTCATATGCACACGCAAGTGTCTATTTTCTCCCCCTCCTCTTGGACCTGCCAATTTCCCCCTGGTAGTGTCCCCACCACTATACTCATGTGACCAGCACAGGGTTAGACAAGTACATGGGTTAGAAAATGAAATGTAGTGTTTCCCTTGAAATGCTTAGTTCCACTCTAGTTTGCATTAGTTATCATTAATATCAGTGCTGACCCACACTTAACTGTGGTTAAAGCTGGTAAGGGACAGGTATTTGGGAAGGAGGCCTGCTTCCAATCTACTAACAAGGCTTAAGACATTGGTAGTATTACATCTTCACTGGCCCCATCTCACTCTCTGCCTCATGAATACAGGTCTCTGTCTTGCTTCATGTGCTAACTCTCTTCCAATACTTTCATATTTTTATTATGT